GGCTGCGAGGGGACCTTATAAATGCCTACAAATATCTGAAGGGGGGGTGTCAGGAGGACGGGGCCAAGCTCTTTTCAGTGGTGCCCAGTGACAAGGACAAGGGGCAATGGGCACAAACTGAGGCACAGGAAGTTCCGTCTGAACATGAGGAGGAACTTCTTCTCTCTGAGGGTGACGGAGCACTGGAACAGGCTGCCCAGGGAGGTTGTGGAGTCTCCTTCTCTGGAGATATTCAAGACCCGCCTGGACAAGGTCCTGTGCAGCCTGCTGTAGGTGACCCTGCTTCGGCAGGGGGTTGGACTAGATGACCCACAGAGGTCCCTTCCAACCCCTACTATTCTGTGATTCTGTGATTCTGTGAATCGGGTGCATTCCCACAGCGAGGGGTGCAGTGGGCGCTTTGTCGCCTGGGTTCACGGAGACAGACGTGCTTTGACTCCTCTCGATGTTTTCTGCCCCAACACTCCCAGAATCAGATTGTAAATGAAGCAATCGCTTATCTCCAGAGTCCATGAAAGCAATTTTGAAGTAACGAACGTTAATCATTCCAGGAAGTTCAGCCCTGCCCGCGGCCCTTCCCATCCTCGGTGATTTCTGCCCGCGGTGAACCAGCTGCAGCTCGCCTCGCTCCTGCCCTTTCACACCCATCTTCCTCCGACGGCGACAAGCATTGACTTCAAGACTTCAGACAAAACTCCAGGGTTTCCAGCACTGCTTTTTTTAATGCCCAGCTGAAATACCCAGCGCTTTCTTACAGAGTGCTGCCTGGTGACTCCCAAAGAGCGAGGGGACAGAGAAAAGGGCAATCACACACCAGTGCTAAAAACCTAATGAGGCCAAAATCCGTAGCTGAGCTGGTGCCTGAGGTGTGAGTTCCTTAAATCACACGCTTGTTTACCTAACGGGGTATTTGGTCCTTAACTAACTACATCGAAGTTCATCACAACTACTAGTGGAAGGGTTTTTCAGAAAAGGTAGAGTTTGAAAGGCAAACCTGGGGCTTGAACGTGCAAAGAGCTGCAGCTAAAAGCGTCAGTGACGGAGGGGGAAATGCACTCCTCTGTCGTAACGCTGCC